AGTGGAAGTAAACACTGCTGTTATGAAACAGGCCTAGATGTTGTTTTTCTTCACTCTCAAAGAAATGTACAATGATCTTTGATATTAATCTGTTTATAAAATTTATAATAGAAAGAAGACCAATGGTCCATTCTTGACATTTTTCACGATGTGCAAGAGCTCCACCTCTGACATAATTTCAGTAGCCTAACCTCTGAGCACAGGCTCCCAGTCTTCCTACTCTTTCTCTGGCTTACTTGCCTGTTCTTCTTTCTTCTTTCATTGAGACTCCAATCCCTCAGCTTTAACATTTTCTCCAATCCATCTGTTTCCTCTGACTCTACGGCAGTAGTTCTCAAGTGGGCTGATTTTGCCCCTCAGAAGACATTTGGTGACATTTGGGACACTTCTGATTATCACACTGGAGAGGGCTGTTACAGGCATCTAATAGGCAGAGGCCAGAGATACTGCTAACACCCTACAATGCACAGGACAGGCCCCACAGCAGAGAATTACACAGGTTTCAAAAGTGGAGACTCCCTGCTCTATGGTTTTCTCTTTTTTTAAAAAAAAATTTTGAGATAGTGTCTCCTCATTGCTATGTCTCCCAGGCTGGAGTGCAGTGGTGCCATCTCAACTCACTGTAGCCTTGACCTGCCAGGCTCAAGTGATCCTCCAATCTCAGTCTCCCCCAAGTAGCTGAGACTACAGGCATATACCATCACACCTGGCTAATTTTTGTATTTTTTGTAGAGACAGGATTTCACCATGTTGCACAAGCTGGTCTTGAACTCCTGGGCTCAAGGGATCCTCCTGCCTTGGCCTCCCAAAATGCTGGGATGAGTGAACCACAGTGCCTGGCCTCTATGCCCTTCTTTAGAATAACATGGTTCATTTCTTCAAACACTCTTGGAACATTTTAGCCTTATGTCTCATGCACTTTCATCCTTCTAACACAACTTTTACAAAACCAAACCTTTAATAAATGGAATCATCTACCTCTTCTACTTCTAAACTACTAAGGTCAACAAAAGCTGAATAAATAAACAGCACACTCATAAGACTAACTGACTCTACATATTCATAGATTCCAACATTGGTGGGACACCAACATTCCTAGACAGGCAACCCTTTATGTTTCTCGCTAGTCTCCCCCTCAAGCCCTGTCCTTTTCCCTCAGTGATTATTCTAAACTTCTACCACTTTACTCAATCCCTATCCCAACAAATCAACACAGTGTCAGCAAATTCATCTGCTGCACTAAAAAGTTTTTGCTCCATCAGACAAGAACTTCCACATATTTCTTCCCCATCCCACCCACACACTCACATCTGTGCCTACCCTTCTCCCCATCCCTCCCAAGAGAGTAGTAGTGTCCCCCACGCCCTGCATAGCCTGAAGGTGACCTGTGCTCTGGAGATCGTCTTTTGGTGGCCTCTGGGACCTTGCTTCATCAGCCTCCAACCCCCTAAATCCTCGACCTCAGCATTTTCCTGTTTCCAAGACCTTTCCACCTCAGAAACATGAATGTTCCAGTCTCTTCTTACGGGAAAAACCCACAAATGAACAAATCCTCCCTTAAATCCACATCTCCCTCTAATTCTTCTTTCTCTCCTCACAGCCAAATTCCTTAAAAGAACTGTCCTTGGCTAGGCATGGTGGCTGATGCCAGTAATCCCAGCACTTTGGGAGGCCAAGGCAAATGGATCACTTGAGGTCAGGAGTTCAAGACCAGCCTGGCCAATAAGGTGAAACTCTGTCTCTACTAAAAATACAAAATTAGCTGGGAGTGGTGGCGGGTGCCTGTAGTCCTGGCTACTCACAAGGCTGAGGCAGGAGAATTGCTTAAACCCAGGAGGCAGAGGTTGCCAAGACCACATCACTGCACTCCAGCCTGGGCGACTGGGCGAGACTCCTTCTTAAAAAGAGCTTAAAGAACTGTCCTCATTCCCTATCCCCCTTACTCTACCCGTTTCAGGCCACTGTTCACTGCTCACATCCATATCATGCCACTAAAACTCCACAGTGGAGGCAGATGACTTCCTAGTTACCAGGTGCAGTAGGTTCTTCCAACTCTTAATTTTGCAGCATTAACACAAATAAAAAGGTCCTTCTTAAAATTTCTCCTTTAGTATTTGTGATACCATTCTTTCCTCTCTATACTGCTTGCTACCTTTCTTTCACCCTTCCTTCTCCCACTTCTTAGATGTTGGTGCATCCTGTAGCTTTAGCTTCAATGCTTCTCTCTTGACTGTGCAAACCACTCTCTAGTCCCTTCAAATCTGTATCTCTAGCTGTGATCTTTTAACTAAGTTTTCCTAGTGAATGACACCACCATCTAACCAGTTGCCCAAGCCAGACTCCTGGGATTATCCTAGATTTCCCAATCTCGCCCACATATAATCAATTTCAAAATCAATTTAAGTGTCTCTGCTCTCTGTCATATGAGTATATCCTCTCTGCAGCCTTTCTAATTTGGGGCATTATCTCTCATCCAAAACATAAGAAGAATGGTAATTAAATACATATGAGCAAAAAACTTAGAAGCCTCTCTTATAAATAAGGATGCTACATAAATACAAAGAGCTGTGATTTGAAAGAACATAGAACATTGTTCTTTTTTTTTTAAAGGGTTCTATGGATACCCCATTTGTCCTGATGTGATTATTACAAATCATATGCCTGTAACAAAAATATCTCCTGTATCTCATAAATATATACCCTAATACCTACTCACAAAAATAAAACATTAAAAATCAAACCCTGTAAAATAAAACATTAAAAATCAAACCCTGTAAATATTGGATTCTAATACTATGCAAATACAGTCAAATAATTTAATCATCCCAGGCTTCAGACTCCCAGCTGATCAATGAAGAGTAAAAAGACTCTTTGAGCCTTTAACATTCATTCTATAATTCTGCTTCTACCAGATATTACCGACAGTTCACGCCTCCAAATATACACTGTACTTGCTACATACACAAGATATTACTGATGCCAAAGGAAAACAAAACAAAACAGGCTGATGTGTCTCTATTGATGCCAAAATATATCAAGCATGTCCTGATTTCCATCACTTTCTAAAACTAAACCTTCAGTTACAAGTGTCAAATAAGGCCGGGCTCACAGGATTACAGGTGGCTCACACCTGTAATCCCAGCACTTTGGGAGGCGAAGGTGGGTGGATCACCTGAGGTCAGGAGTCTGATACCAGCCCGACCAACATGGAGAAACCCCATCTCTACTAAAAATACAAAATTAGCTGGGCATGGTAACCCATGCCTGTAGTCACAGCTACTCAGGAGGCTGAGGCAGGAGAATTGCTTGAACCCAGGAGGCAAGAGGTTGCGGAGAGCTATGATTGCGCCACTGCACTCCAGCCTGGGCAACAAGAGCAAAACTCTGTCTCAAAAAAAAAAAAAAAAAAGTCAAATAACTAAAATGTAAGCAAATGAAAAAGCCAAGAAAAAAATTATAAGGAAATTGGTTATTTATATAAAAATGCTATTTCAAAATAATTTCTTCAGGAAACAAACAACACTGAGTGATGAGTTAACAGCAAAATGAGTGCACTATAAACCATTCTAACAGTCAATAACATTATGAGCAAAAAGCTCTTCCTACCCATAGAACAGTAGAGTGAGAATTGCACAATATCCAAAGTCAAACACCAGAACCATTTACATGCAATATGAGATCACACAAAGTTTCAGGATCTGCTTTTCAAAGACAAGGCTCTCAGAGAAGAATAAGAACTAGGCTGTAGCCAGGCGCAGTGGCTCACGCCTGTAATCCCCGTACTTTGGGAGGCCAAGGCGGGCAGATCACCTGAGGTTGGGAGTTCAAGACCAGCCTGACTAACATGGAGAAACTCCATCTCTACTAAAAAATACAAAATTAGCCGGGCATGGTGGTGCATGCCTGTAATCCCAGCTATTGAGGAGGCTGAGGCAGGAGAATCACTTAAACCTGGGAGGCTTGCAGTGAGCCAAGATGGAGCTATTGCACTCCAGTCTGGGCAACAAGAATAAAACTCTGACTCAAAAAAAAAAAAGAACTAGGCTGTGAAAGTGCAGTCTGAATTCCACTTAAATGTTGTCACCCCAATCAAGTAAGAGGCACCGTGGTTTCCATTTTGACAGTCTGGGTTCAGTTGCTCCTCCACTGCCTACTAAGCTCAGATGTAATTTTTGGTTTTAAAGAAAGTAGAAAAGGAGAAGGTAGAGGGAGACTGTGGCAGGCAAAACAATTTAAACTGCAAATCTGGTACTGGCAAAACCTTGGGATAAATGAACTCAAGCCAGGCCAGGCAGCGTAGCTCACGCCTGTAATCCCAGCACTTTGGGAGGCTGAGGCAGGCAGAATGCTTGAGCTCAGGCGTTCGAGACCAGCCTGGGCAATATAGTGAAACCCTGTCTCTACCAAAACTACAAAAAATTAGCCAGGTGTGGTGGTGCATGCCTGTGGTTCCAGCTACCCTGGGAGCTGAAGTGGGAGGTTCTCTTGAGCCTGGGAGGTAGAGGTTGCAGTCAGCCGTGATCGTCCCACTGCACTCCAACCTGGATGAGAGTCAGACCCCCCCATCTCAAAAAAAATAAAAATTAAATTAACAATATACTGCTTATTCTCAAGTAGTTAACTATGGACACCAAAAGAGTCAATATCAGCTCTTAGCTGGCCTTGGTTTAAAATACATACCTAGGCTGGATGCAGAACTACTGTTCAAGCCTGCAAACCCAGTATTTTGGGAGGCCAAGGCAGAAGTTCAGAAGCTTGAGTCCAGGAGTTCAAGACCAGCCTGGATAACACAGTGAGATCCTGTCTCTCCAAAAAAAAAGTTAAAAATTAGCTGGGCATGGGGGTGCATGCCTGTGGCCTCAGCTACTTGGGAGGCTAGGAAGGGAGAATCACTTGAGCCCAGGAGGTTGAAGCTGCAGTGAGCCAAGATCATGACACTGCACTCCAGCCTGGGCAACAACAGAAAACCTCGTCTCAGAAAAATAAAATAAAATACATACCTGAAAATGGGTACATTCCTTGAAAACTTCAGCAGGAGTATTATTTCCCTTTGTTGATACAGTCAACTTTTAGAACTTTTTGAAGAAAGGAGGAGAGGGAAGGAAAATTATACTGAGAACATATGTTTATGTGTGGTCAATGCCTAATGGCGGGTTTTGTTAAAAGAAATACTTATCCACATAGAACTATGATCACATAAGTGCAATAGTGTATATCTTTGTAGGGCACAATAAATAAATGTGTAAATCAATTGGTATTAAAAGGAAAGTATTTCTATGTATTAGTAGACCATAATTTAATACACTAAAATGGCCCCCACATTCAAAACAGAAATTAAAGATCCATTATTTTGATACATATAATAAAATGAAATATCCAAGCAAAATGCCTACTTTATTACAAACACAATGAAAGTAGATTTAACTAACATTTTCCCAGAATGACTTAATAAAGGATTTCCATTAGGGTAATTAATTGTCGAGTAAACTCATAATTATCATATATCAAATATCACTTGAGGAACATTTTTTGTGTTCTTGTTTTGTTTTGTTTTTTTTAAGACAGAGTTTCACTCTTGTTGCCCAGTCTGGAGTGCAATCCTGGCTCACAGCAACCTCTGCCTCCCAGGTTTAAGCGATTCTCCTGCCTCAGCCTCCCAAGTAGCTCAGATTACAGGTATGTGCCACTACACCCAGCTAATTTTGTATTTTTAGTAGAGACAAGGTTTCTCCAAGTTGGTCAGGCTGGTCTCAAACTCCCAATCTCAGGAGATCCGCCCACCTCGGCCTCCGAAAGTGCTGGGATTACAGGTGAGCTATTGCGCCCAGCCCGAGAAACACTTTTCTAGAACTAAAATGCAATTTTCAAAGACCTAAAGTCAAAATCAGACTAATAATAGCATCAGCAAACACTTATATGGCACTTTCCATATGCCTGGCACTTTTCTAAGCTCTTTACACATATTAACTCATTTTATCCTCACAAGTCTTCCAAGTATTCTTATTATTTCCATTTTACAAATGAGGAAACAGGTGTAGAGGGGTCAAGTACCTTGCCAGGGCTCACCGTGCTGCTAGTAAGTGACAAAGTTAAGATTTAAACCCTACCAGTCTGGTTATACAGTCTCTGGGTTTAATCATATGCTTCACTATCTCTTGGTGATGTGATATTGAGGAATATACTACAAAAAATATAGGCAAACTTGTTTGTTTGTTTTTTTAGATGGAGTCTCACTCTGTTGCCCAGGCTGGAGTGCAGTGGTGAGACCTCAGCCCACTGCAACCTCCACTTCCCAGGTTCGAGCGATTCTCCTGCCTCAGCCTCCCAAGTAGCTGGGACTATGGGCATGTGCCACCATAACCAGCTAATTTTTTTTTTTTTTTTTTTTTTACCAGCTAATTTTTGAATTTTTAGTAGAGACAAGGTTTCACATGTTGGCCAGGCTGGTCTCAAACTCCTGACCTCAAGTGATCCGCCCACCTGGGCCTCCCAAAGTGCTGAGATTACAGGCTTGAGCCACCACCCCAAGCTGTCAAACTTAAAATGTAAAGCAGTTTGGGGGCCAAGCTCTGAGAAGATCACTGTGTTACAACACAGGACAATATATTATGTTCAGGACTACATAAGGGGAGGTCAAAAATCTACTCAGGATTCTGAGTGTTTAAGATGGCAAAAAATTATATAGTACATTTTTTAAATTTCCATCTCAAAGAGTCAATATACTTTTCATTTCTAAAGAAGCTCTCAACTGTGAAATTACCCATTCCCTGAGGGCTCCAAACAGCAAGGTTTCACTGCACAATCTTGTTTGCCATTTATCACATTCTTAAAGATAAGGATTGGGGGAGGTGTGTGTGCAGGAAGGATCACAATTTAAGCTTTCCAGGTGTTTTAACTCCAGGAATATGGGAACTATACCCTATTAAAGATATTAAAAAGTGTCAAATCATTTGCGTAGGTGAACAAACTCATAAAATTGAGGTAACTATTGTAAAAAGTCTAAAATTTGATCATTAGCAGAGTTCTTTAAAAAAACAAGGAAAGCGCAGGCTTTAAAGTCTCATTGGCAGACCTAAATTTAAATCTTGGTTTTGCCATTTAGTTAACTGTGAATTTTTAGCAAGCCAATTTCACATAACCGAACCTCAATTTCCTACTCTGTAAGTTGGGAGTAATAATTCCTAAGTCAAAAGGTGGTCGTATGAAGTAAAAACATATGCAAAGTGTTGAACATAGTCCCTGGTATAAAGCAGATGGGCCAACAATAAGCAACTATTATACCCTAACCTTATTCTTTGTCCCTCAAATATTGGAAGACTCTAATCTTCCCAATTAGCAAGTCATTGGTAGGCTTACCAGAATTATACGAAGTACAATATACACTATTCAAAATTGAACAGACTAAAAGTATTTAAAAAATACAAAACCAACCATCAATGAGATCAAGGATTTCAGAATTCTGCTTCTCATCCCATATACCCAGCATCTATTCTGTCAGGTTTTGTAATAACCCATATTATTTCTTTATCAACCATATGAACCTTATTGGGTTTTTTTGTTTTGTTTTGTTTTGTTTGTTTTTTTGCGATCTAAACATCCCTAGCGGGTTGTGTTACTTATTTTGAGGGTTACCTTTGCAAGAGTAATTGTCATCATTTCTCGAAAACCAAAAAGAAATCCAGGTACAAGGGGCATTTTATGCAACGCTATTAACTGTCCCATGCATCTCAACAGTGGATTGGATCCCAAGTGGATCTTTTATTATCACAATAGGTAATCACATTACTGTGCCACCCCTTCCCTGCCCATGCATGCGTTAATGAGCAAAACTCCAGACTAACAGAGTATGAATGTTCTATAGGGACACCAAAACTCAAAACTTGGTGCTCTCAGTAAAGCTCCTCCGGAGGAAGGAGAGGTGGATGGGTTTCACTGCAAGTGGAAACGAATCGAATCGGAAACTGTTTTGCCTATTTAAGACTAGAAATGAGCCCTGTGGGGCTAGAAGCCGAGACCGGCAGGTGACCGAGGGCCTGGAGGGAGAGACGGAGGAGGAGGCACCCAGAGGCTGAGAAAGGTCTGTGCCGCCGGGGAAAACACAGCCAGGGCCCATGACCCCTCTACAGCTGAGTTGGTGAGATGTGACCGCTCCGCCCAGTCCCCAGAATGTGTTTCAGCCCCAAGAATCCGGGAGAACTGAGGAGGGGATGGGAGTTCTCGCTGGTCGAGCAAAAGTGAGGGTAAGGGAGGGTTCCCGTCGCCTTCAGAACGGAATGGTGCTGTCCCCGCAGCCATCCCGACGCCAGAGGTGAGGAAGGCAGGGACCCAACAGGGACAGAACAAGTTACCTGTCTCAGCCGCCTCCCACGGGTCTCCACTTCCGCAGACTCGGGGTTACTAAGGGCTACCCCGGCACGCGCCGAGTGACGTCATCCACGCGCGTCCGGCGTAGCCGTCCTCCTGGCCCGTCTGGGCCCGCCTTCCTCTTAGCCCGCCCCCTTGGGATGATAGGGCGGGACCGGCCGAGGGAGGTCTGCGCAGGCGCGGCCGGAGGAGGGCGGGAGCAGCTTGGCTTGCTAGGGCTTGCAGGGTTGCCCTGGTACCCTACTATTCCTAATTACAGAATCTTTATGACACTTAAGAAAAAAAATCATCAGTCTGGGCAACATGTGGAGGCTCCGTCTCTACAAACAAATTTAAAAATTAGGCGGGTGTGGTGGCGTGCACCTGTTGTCACAGCTACTCCGGAGGCTGAGACAGGATTGCTTACACCCACGAGGTCAAGGCTGCAGTGAGCTATGAACGTGCCACTGCACTCCAGCCTGGCCACAGGGAGAGACCCTGTTTCGAATAAAATAAAAATTTAAAAGTTGCTGAAATACAGATGTGCAATTTTTTTCCTTAGCCTACTCTCACCTCTGCTACATGTGACTTTTGTTCATATATTCATTCCACCACAATTTAAGGTCCTCCTGTGTGCCAGGCAAGCACCGATAACAGACGCTGGGGAAACAACCGGGAACAAGACGAACACTGTGCCTACCCTAACGGAGATTACTTTCTACTTGAGACAGGAAACATTAAATGTAGAAGGAAAATAGTAAGTTGCTGAGACATTAAAGGAAGACAGGTGATCTTTTGATTGGAGATGTTGAGAAAGTGCCCTCTGAAGAGGCTCAGTAAACTGAGAAGCCAGCTCTGTGGAGATTTAAGGAAAGAACAGCCAAGAGAAGGATCTACATGTGAGCAAGCAATGGGGAAGGGGCAGAATGTGGTGCCCTGGAGAAAGTGAGAAAGTAGGCCAGGGGAAAAACAGGATGAGATCAAGGCAAGGAGAGTCCCCATCATGCACAGACTTTCTGTCCCTGTGAGGAATACGGAATTTATTCCAAGTGTATGGGAAACTAGTGAACACTTTTCAACATGTGAGTAACAGGATCTAGTTTTATAAGATCACCCTGCTGGCTATTGTGTATACATGGAACTTTTGAGAATCAATTTAAAGGCTGGGCGTGGTGGCTCATGCCTATAATCCAAGCACTTTGGAGGCCAAGGTGGGTGGATCACTGAGGTAGGGAGTTCAAGACCAGCCTGACCAACATGGTGAAACCCCCTCTTGAAGAAAAAATAGAAAGAGAGAATCAGTTTAAAAGGATGCAAAGACAAGAGTTGCTTTTGCAATGAGCAGGTAACAAATGATAGAAATGGACAAATATCAGTAATAATTCTGAGGTAGATGTGACAGACTTGGAGACGAATTTAGATAAAGAAGATAAAGAAAAGAAAAGTGTCAGAACAACTCCTAAATTTGGGGCCTAAGCAAGTAACTGGAGAATATTAGCTAAAACAAGGTTTTTTTCTCCTCCTTTCAAACCTGATTCCTTTGCTTCTTTGTTGCCAAGTCGGTCCTCTAGGTTCTCCTCTCACCTCTCTCTCTCTCCTCAGTTTCTATCCCTGGCTTCCACTTTCCCTTTTCCCGAGCTTTTTATTCCCTTGGCTTTCTTATGCTACCTTCCTCTGATGAGAGGCTGCAAACTCCAAAGCCTACATGAGC